AAATGAACACAATGGATATGCTTGAATGCAAGGTAGTCAACATCATCCAAGAACATATACTACAAGCACATGTCATCTACTGCATTCTCTTCTACTACTAATATGATAAGTCAACACATCTCATTAAATGCTTCAAAGATACACCAAAGCTTCACTAATTTCTTAATCAGGCATCAAGCAATCATTGGATTAAACCCTAATTAATAATAGGTTTGAATAGCAACATCTATTTTTATAGCTTAGAAAAATCTTAGAAAATTATCATAGCACAGCACTACCCTAAGTAGTCTACCATCAGATTTTTATGGCATTTGTATAAGTGGAATGGCCTACCCAAAAATGACAAGCCAGGGCATAATTATGAACATGAAAATACTTTGTACTATGAAAAGTGTCAAACAACAGATGAAATATTTTTTCTATGTTCTACATAGCAAATAATTACTGTACAAAAATTATCACATGCATGTTTTATACAAATTTTGCTCTCTAGCAAAAATAACAAAAATCAGGCATTAAAGGCACTTGAACTACACCTCATAATTTTTCTACAGGACATGCATGGAATATATTTTCACAAAAAGTACATTACACAAGAAGAGTAATAAACTTGGAATCATATTTTTCTGATACATATAGGATTTACTACACAATTTACAAGATATCAGCAATATCAAGAATTAAATAAAGCTCTACAGAAAAGTATCTCAAAAATGACATGCAATGTTTTTATCATGTAGATATGGTGACAAGAAACACCACAAAATTTGTTTCAACAAATTTGGAGCACCACAGCAGCAACTAGGTATTTTAGAATCCTCTTAAAGCATTTTCCAAAAATCTTTTTTTCTTTTAAAACAAAAATCAGCCGGGCGCAAAAAGCTAGGTGCACCCGGTCTTTGTGCACTGGGGTTTCCACCACCATCGCTTGTGGGCCTCTGATCCCACGGGTTAGTGACCCGAGAGCAGGGGACAAGCCCCGCCAACCGGTGCTCACCGGCGGCGAGCCCTTCCGGTGGCGCAGGTGGTGCCAGCGTGCTCAACACGCTGAGCTGCACCGACTGGCAGAGTGATGCTGCCCGGCGCGTGGATTTGCCCAGGCGATCATGCAACAAGACTTTTCGCCGGAGAGAAAGGGGCGGCCATGCTCGGCCCTCACCTCGACGACGGTAGCCGCGAGCGAGCGCAAGCGACGGAGATTGACGAGGCAGAACTACTGGCGGCGGGAATCGAGGAATGGTGCGGCGGTGCGGGAGCTCGACGCCGGCGGAGCGCGTCGGTGAGCTTGGCATCTCGGGCGCTGCTACTATGGAGCGAGAGGCAGGGAGGGTGGCGAAGTGAAATAGCGGAGTGGGGTGGCGTGCGCGCGTTCGCACCGCTTTGAAGGCGGAGCGCGGCCGGTCGGAGCAGGCACCGCCCCTCGCCACCGGTGTACGGGCACCGCATGGCGGCCGGGCAGGGTGGGAAGGCGGGCGCGTCTGCGTGCGGGAGCGGCCGCGGCGTGGGCCTAGGCCGGTGAAGCGCTGCTGGCCAGGGAGAAGCGCGCGACAGGCGCGGAGGTAGGCCGGGCCGGCTTCGGCCGTGGGCCGGGAAGCGAGGCGCGACGCCCATGATGGTGAAAATGAGATTTTTCAAATTATTTTTGATTCCTTTGTCATTCAAATGAATTTTTGAACTATTTCAAAGCAATTTCAACTTTGGCCCAAAAATAAAAGTTGCTCCAAAATTTATGCTCTACAACTTTTCTTTTATGACCAAAGTCAAATTCCAATTAGATTTTGAATTACCAAATTAAACTCAATATTAATTCAAAACCCTAATTTGAATAAATATTTTTAAAAGCAAACTTTGGCAAAAGTTCAAATATAAACTTTGCTCCAATTTGTATCCTAATTATTTATAAGCTATCCTAGTGATCAAAACAAGAAATCATGGCATTCAAACATGAGCACGGCATTTCACAGTGTTTTTAAACATACTGAATTTCAATCAATTTAAGCACCATATGAAATGATACTTCATTTCTTTCGAAATGAAATGCATACATGATGCTTATGCATGAGGTGATGATGATTAGGCTCATGGGATGAAATGGTAATGCACGCTTAACACCGAGGTGTTACAAAGACGAGGCTTCCAGAGCTCAACCATGAAGTGCTCGGGGGCTTATCGGTGTGGGACCCACGGGATACCCCGCAAGGAAGGGAGAAGATCTATTCTAACTAGGATTCTTCCCATATAATCTTAATAGTAGTAGTATTCTGTAATCCTAATAGGAACTCTCATTGTAAACCGACTAGGATTCTGGTCTCCTGACTATATAAAGGAGGGCAGGGTTCCTAGAGACGGGACTTCACGACTTCGAACAACACAATACTTCACAATCAATCCAACACAAAGGCAAACGCTGACTGGACGTAGGGCTGTTACTCGATCAACGATCGAGGGTCTGAACCAGGATAAATCGACTGTCTCTTACGTTTAACGTCGAGTTCCGCATACGCTGAAGCCCGAACATACTGCCCCAGGTACCCCCGCGGCAGGCTATCGGTGGTCAAACATCGACACTATGTTTTTGGAAACGATGACAATAACTATGTATGCATTGACGTCAAAGTTATTAGGACCGGACCGGACCGGCGGTCGGACCGCTAAAAGACCGAACCAGAGCCTAAACCGTCCGGTTCAGTTAAAAGATCGTCTGTGCAATCGAACTGCTATAAACCGATTGAACCGGTGGGTTTTTCTTCAAACCGGTGAACCGGGCGGTTCCATTCGAACCGGTGAGTTTTTGATATTTTTCCAAAGTTGCCCCTCGTTGTACTCAGGACGACCTTACCTACATAGGGGCGTTATTGGAAATTGGTCAAAATGGGTCTTTAGGATTGTTTTGCCGGCTGAATAGTTGAAGCGGAGGGAAAATTTTTCCCTTTTCGTGCGTGTGGCGCGGGACGGAGACACGGCGAGCAGCGGCGGTTGTGCTCCTACGGGCGACGCGCGTAGGCGGCTGCGTCGGGCGGTGGCGCACGCTTGAGGCTCCGGCCGGTGGCACGCGCAGGCGGCGTTGGTGGCCGACGGGCAACGGGGTTGCTGGGCCTCTGAGGCAGCGGCGGCCGGCAGGGGCAAGCAACGGGCGGCCGTGGCCTGTGGGGCGGCAATGCAGCTGCCTCTACGCACTCCGGCCAGGGGCTCGCTGGGCGCCTGCTTCTCTGCTCCAAGCTTCTCGACGCCTGCTTCTCTACTCAGCATCTGCCTGCTTCTCTGCATCAAGTCCAGACTCCGGAGTCCAGCGACCAGATCCCGACCGGCGACAACTGTTGCTGTGCTTCATCTTCAAGCTTCATCCAGGCATCCAGGCTCCACGACATGGCTAATGGTGAGCTTGTGTTCTATGCATATTATGCCTTTTCCAGCACTACTGAGTTACTGACAAATGGAGGATCTGACGAATTGAGTGCTAGAAAAACAATTGAACCGTAATTATTAATTATTAATTATATATATATATATATATATATATATATATATATATATATATATATATATATATATATATATATATATATATATATATCGGTTCAAAGTATTTAGGACTGGTTCAATTCGTCCGGTCCAAAACAATTGAACCAGCGGTTCAACCGATTCTAAACGGTTGGACCAGTGAACTAGTAAACCGATCGGTTTGATCTCCGGTTCGGTCCTAATAACTTTGATTGACGTCAGTATTGGATAAGTAAGGCCCTTGTTGACAAGTTTTTGTTGGAGCTTCTCCAGCGGCTAAATTAAAAACTCTGCCAAACATACATCCACAAAAATGGTTTGTGAAACCAAAACCAAGCAAACAACGATAAAGCCGAAGCTGTTTTGGTCTAAAATCCTAAGCCACAGAAATATAGCTTTCTTTTTACTTCATTGTTTTTAGAAAAGTCGACGCCTGGTCAAAAATGACCTAATAATATATATATATATATATATATATAAGACTAAGGTGCAACCGTTTGTTTATCGATGAGTATGCCTTTGGTCATCCTAAGGCTTTCCACGGCCCTGCTCTAATTTAACAAGTTGAACTTGTTTTCAAAATTGACTTAATTATTTTGGAAAACTAAAACAATTTCCGGAACTTGTTTATCTGGGAAGAAGAAATTTCCTTACATTTGTTGATGGCCACCAAAAAAAGTGAGAGATATTAGGGAACTACTAGAGTAAGAAAAAAGCATGGTTCACCCTTAATTTGATAGTTTTGGAGCATCTCCAAGAGTCTCATCATTTGAGAGTCATTTGAGTAAAAATCACTTTATATTCTCCATCAGCTTTCTATATCTTGTTCGCAATCTAGAAAGTCATCGTCGCGCTCTATCTTTGGCTAACCAGAAATTCGAAATGGAGAATGTCTATATTTAGAGATCAAATTAAAGAGGTTTTTAGAGAATATTTTTTCACCAAAATCTTTATTGATATATCATATAAATTAGGAAAGATATAAAGAGTCCTTTGGAGTTGTGCTTACGAAGATAGATAGAGGTATTGAGGGGCCATTGAAGATGCTCTCAGTATGGAGAGGCTTCTCCTATCTGTTTATGACATGTTTGGAATATGAGAAAAAATTTCATGTTCATGCGTTCTTTCTATAAAATTGAACTAAATAATGTGAAATTTGTATATTAGTTTTGTGAAATTACTGCATTACGAACAAGCCCTTAAATGCGTTCTAGTTCATGGGTGGCAATATTAAGTATGAATAATTCTACTCTGCGTAATTTACTTTAAGATAAAATAATCTGCAATTAAATTTGCATGGACACATTTGCAAGGAAATATTTAGGGGGCACGACAACAGCGGGCAGCATAGATTACAATACTTAAATCAAAACTTGTACTCCTTGGAAAATACACTACGATCGACAAGACAAAAATACAAACGGGAAAGTGATCCACATGGTTGAAACGGCATGGTCTGGAGAACGGGATCTTGATCCGACGGTGGGAGCTTTGCTCGGTCATGCCCGGAACCTGAAGAGGTCGAAGAGCGCGGCGTCGCCCAGCTGGTGCGCGGCGTGGATGAGGTCCACCAGTGCGTCGTGCTGCAGCCCCGCCATGAACGCGGCGTCGAACGCCGCCCCAGCCATGTCCGCTCCCTGCGTCGCCGCGGCGCGACCCTCCCAGTACGCGGCCACCTTGGCGACCACGGGCCCGTACACGTAGCCCGGCACGTCGACCACGCGGTCCGCGGCCGCCGCCGCGGCGACCAGCCCCGACCGCTGCCGTGCAAGCGCCGTCGGCACGGCGACCTTCACGCCGTCAAAGCATCGAAGCACCACGACGCCCTCTTCAGCCCCTTGCGCCGCATGTTGAGACGTCGCCGCCATGTTTCTCTCCGCCGTTTAGTTTGCAGCAAGTTCTTCCTTTCTTGCGAGGCACGAGAAAGGCGGCGGCGGGCACGCACATTTATGCAGAGGACGGGTTCGAGTCCGACGCGCGCGGCGCTTGTCGTGTCCGGGTCGGAGCTGGAAAGTGTTGGTGCGTTACTGCGCTCCGTTGCGTCTTTGCGTGCACGGGGTGGATGCGTGCGCGCACGCACACGGCTGATCGGCCTCGCAAACGGACGGCTCGGGGCGGGCGTTTTTTGGACGAGGCCATGCGGGAATCGTTACGGAATCGGGGTGGGCCGGCCGTGGCTCAAGCAGGTTTTTGCGTTTCTGCGATTGTTTTTTCCATCCAAGGTTGTTTCAAAAGTTGAAATTTTAAAATTTGAAAACTTCAAATAAAATTTTAGGATCGTAAATGATTTTCAATAAAAAAGCCATCAACTACAAAGTTGAAGATCTCATTAAGATGTGTAACTTTGCTTTTAGTCTTTTTCCATCCAAGGTCATTTGAAAATTTTGATTTTAAATTGTGATAACTTCAAATAGAACTTTATGATCGTAAATGATTTCAAATGAAAGGTGATTATCTACGAAGTTGTAGATCTCACCAAGATGTTCAACTTTGCTTTTGGTCATTTCTGCATCCGAGTTCGTTTGAGACAAAATTTCTCGCTTTAAGATGGTTTCAATTTCAACTAGTTGCAGTTGATATTGTAACGAATATTTGAGGCTCCAAACGATTCGATCTAAAAAAATTTCAACTACAAATTTGCAAATTTGTAGTTTTAACTTTGGTTTTGGTTGTTTGTCCATCTGACTTCATTTGGACAATTCAAAAAATTTGAATTTCAAAATATGAGAATTTCACATGGAATTTTTGGACTATAAACGATTTCAAATGAAAACGTGTTCGACTATAAAGGTGTATCTCATCTAGATCTACAACTTTAATTTAAATTTCGTCTTCATCATATTTGATTTTTCAGAAATGAATGTAGAAAATATGAGCAACTATGCTAAGTTAATAACTTGCTTAGACGGAAATTTCCACCCCAGGAAAGAAGGAACTTAGCCACTGAATTATGCTCACTTCGCTAATGACAAGTAACAACATACGAGGGCGATCTTGTATAATCTCTCTCTCTCAAAAAATATAAGAGTAACGAGAATTGACAGCACAAAATCCACATAATAGTCTGAAGCCAAATTTAAGTTGCTACTATATTCATTTTCATGAGAGCAATGGAGTACAATCAGCCGTTATACATATATAATAACTATCACAATATTTGATACAAGCGAATAATTAAAAGACGAAAAGAAAACATTCTTAACCGTGACCCATTGAAACACCAAACATGACCCACCCCACCCAAACAAAACGGCCAACCAATTACAGCAGCAGCAGACCAGCAGTAGCATCAGATACCCGTGCCCATGGCGCCAAGCACAGCGGATACGCAAAGAGCGACGCCTATGGCGGTGATATGGGCCCCATGGCCCTCCTTCCAGGCCCCGCTGTCATAGGGACTGTTGTCCACTAACGGCTGGGCACCGAACCCGGCGGCGGCGTCGTGCTCTCCCTGCCCGAGCCCGAGCCCAGGCCCAGCCACCCCTGCGGCGCCACCGAAGGCCGCTGCTCCGCTGCCGACATCGGCCGCCTGGGGCAGCTCCGCCGAGTGGCCGTTGCCGTCCGGTTCCTGGCCGAAGGGCAGGTTGCTGCTGTGTGCGCCGAGCGGCTCGGCGAAGGGCGGGAGCGCGGCGGCGAGCCCCGGCGACCCCGGCGCGCCGCAGTGCTGCGCGTGGCGCGGCTCGTCGCTGGCGCGCCACGCGAGCTCGCCGTCCTTGTCGCGGATGCGCATGTCGCCGTCGTCCACGAGCTCGAGCGTCTCGAGGAAGTTGGTGCCGTCGGTGTTGGTCTCGCCGTGCCACACCTCCTCGCCGCCGTCGAACACCTCCAGCCCATGCCACGAGAAGAGCAGCGCGCACGTGTTGACGGTGCTGATGGGACGGCACTCCGACTCCCACAAGCTCGTTCCGCCGCCGCCGGCGGCACCGGCCTCCCCCTCGCCCTCCACGGTGCCGCCATATGCGCCGGCGGCGGCCGTCGTGGTGTCGATGATCTCGACGTAGCAGAAGTCGGCGCCGAGGCCGCCGGCGCCCGGCACGGTGTGCGTGCGCACGAAGTAGGCCGCGTATTTGCCGGACGGCGACGTGAGGAAGAGCACGGGCAGGCCCCCGCCCGGCGGGATGCTTGCCAGGATTTGTTGCTTAGTTACGCGCTCGATTGTCCCCAGAGGCGACGTCGCTGCCGCCAGGGAGCAAGAGAGGAGGATGAGGAGCGTGGCGATGCAAGGGAGGAGCTCCATGATGACCAGGTTGCTAGCTTGTTAACCTGCTTCTGTTGTGCGCGTTTCTTGCTGACTGGGTTGTGTTGTGTATAGCTGCGTACATGCATGCATATATATATATATATATAGGTATAGTCTCCGATCGGAGAATGGAGACGGTGGAGTTGGAGAGTGCAGAATGATTGATTATTAGGATTTGATTCAAGGTCAAAGGTGGATACATGGGGAGTGGTTGGAATTGGATCACGGAGGCGGACACAGAGTACCTGCTCCATCGATCTTATATATATCCAAAATACAACATTGATAGGGGATTGGGTGAGACAAAACCTGGGTACTCTTGGTGTAGCGGCAGCTTGGTTGGTCCTCGTCTTGGAGATTTAAGTCTGTCTGGGTACTCCTGGTGCACGCATATATGCTACTCCTACTTTTGTGTTGATTTTGCTTAAAAATAGTAGGTTTTGTGCTGGTCCTCTGGAAGTGGAAGGGCTATCTGCCTACCACTTCTACTTTCTTCCTTCTATATTTTTAATATGGCCTTTGTGGCGATGCTCTTAGCACGTTTTAGCCTCAATCAGTGCGTACCCCAATGGTTTATTAGCAGCTCACCTTCAGTCTGCACATAACTACTGTAGCTCGATTCCCACAAAACAAGATATTACGTACGTTTAGGCGTGTGAGTTTCAAATTAGACATCTAGACTCACCCACTTCATTCCACACAGGGGTGGCCCTAGGGTTATTCTTAGGTATTCTTTGGAATACCCATGTTTTCAAATTAGAGGATGTTGAATGGACCTGGGTGACCAAGTTTGAGGGGGACGGTTAGAGAGCGCGGGCGGCAGCAGAGGCGAAACAGGGGAACCTCAACTCAGGCGATCGTCGACGGCCATTAAGGGGTGTTTCTCGCTAGAAAAAGTGGGAGAATCGCCTCGGACATCGCCGCCGCATCGTCTCACCGCGGTATTTCCTCGGTTCCTTCCCTTTGTCGAGTTTTGGGGGAAGTTGGGAGGTTGGGAGAGATGCATTTTTTCAGGATTTCGTGGTTCGCTTTGCATTGTTTCCGGCGGTTTTTGGTCTCTCTCTCCCGCATTGGCGTTGGGTTGTCGGACTTTCGTGATCATTTTGGAGGATGAATCGAAATCGTCGTCTGACCATGGCAGTGCCTGAGGGGGGTCGGAGTTGGGGAATCCCGCGGAATCATTTTGAGAGACCAAAGGGTTAGAGGGACTATTCACCTAGTCCAAACTGGAGTGATCGTGGCAATTGCAAAAAGGGAGAAGACTATCCCAATGAGTCAGATTTGGGAGTACTGGTGAGCTAGACCAGTCAGGTTTGGATAGTGGAGGAGGTTTCAGGACAGAAAATGAGTCAGAGGGCAAGAATGATTGTATGTTTGAGGAATTGGAGAGATCGGCCATGGCACTTGAGGCGGCGCTGAACAATATCCCCGGGATAGAGGAGATTCCAAGGAAGACGATGACTTCTCGGGCTTACCAGGCTGACCCAGTGAAGACGGCCCATAAAGGCCCAACTCAGTTTGGATCCAATATAGAGGATCTCTTTTCTCACTCGCACCAGAGACCGACCAGCCATCGCTGGGTCTGGGCGACGCGCTCTAGGGTTCTGGAGGCGGCTGAAATCGGATTTCCAGCATCAAGGGGAGAGGTGAGAAGATTTGGAGATCAAGCTATACACATCAAAGCTGTTAGGGCCAAGACTATAGACTCTAGAACCTTCGCTGAAGTAGTGAAGGAAGAGAAGATGGACAACCGTGGAGGTGCCCGTGGAGGTTACTAGGGAGGACGAGGCGATGGAGGTTTCTAGGGCGGTCGTGGTGAGGGCGCTGGGATTACAACAGAGAGGACATATTTCAGGATCGTCCCTGCGACCCTCGCCCAGGTGACCGCTATGCTCCCGATTCTCATCGTTCTGACAATAGGGCGTGGAGGATACAGAGAGGGAAATTGGGAGCACGAGAGAGATGGATATGCACTACAACACACTTGACCTTCTGCGACAATCAGCTATTGTCGTTGAAGACTAAATTTACGTCAAGTTATGGATTTGGTGACGTGAGTGAGACGAATTCCCATTTGTCGCCTATCTGACGTGTTTAAACATCTTTGGTGACGAACACAAGTTTTTTTTGTCGCTAAATTTTCGACAATACTGCTTCGTCACTAAACTTGCGACAATGGCTATTATCATTATTTTAGGAAGAATTGTCGTTAACTATTAAGTGCCATGATGCCACGTGGCATGATCAATATAAGCAAATACATAATACACAGATCAATATAAGCAAATACATAATACAATGTAGGTCACATATTGATCATATCATTCAACAGTTCATTAATTAAAGTTCAAACTCACCAACCAAAGTTACAGTAGGAGGTCATACAATACATGTTTCAATGATCATATCCACTAACAACAACAGCAAACTACAATACTAGTTTTGTTCACAGGCCACGATACATCTCACAGACCATATGATGCAATGACCAAAATTATAGCGGCCACAAGTTCCAAAGTTTAAAGGCCGCACAATACTTCTCAGAGGTCGCAAAACAATGCAACCAACAACATGGTTCAAAAGTTAGAGCTACTAATACTAGGGGCAAACAACCAGCAACCAAACCAAGTTCAACCATCCCTAGGACCAAGCATTTGACAAAGGAAGGACATGGTTTCTTGTGATGGCTTTTTTTTTATCTCCTCAGCCTGTTTTGCCCTTGCCATTTCTGACTCTTTCTTTAAAGTCTTCATAGCCATTTCTGATTCTTTCTTCATGGCTTTGAACTCATGCCTAAGGTCTTCTTTTGATGTTTTTTCAAATCCAAGAGGACTTGGGGCAACCATCAATGAACAAGACTGAATAGGACCATGAACAGCAGCTAGAATCTGGGTTCAGCCCAATGAATTTCTGACTATCCCTCTTTGATTTTAGCCCATAACAGCCAAAAAAATGAATGTCTAAGTGACCCAGCCCTGGCTAGCAGCCCCTCCCGAGTCTGGCCTCCAGTCCACACAAGTTGCGCTCGCGCTCGCCCCCGGTTCCTGCAATTTGCTATTCTCGACGGGGACAGGCAACGGCGGTGGCCGCTCGCGCTTAGCCGCTCCCCGCTAGCGCCTGGCTGCTTCCTGCTCGCTACTGCTGCACGCCGCAAGGCGGGGGCTGTCCGGTAGACCACACCGCCAGCAGTGGCAGGGGGCAAGCCGCAAGCCGCAGCCCCACACTCCCGCAGGGGCAGCCGGTGGCCGCTGCAGCTGTGCAGGGGCGCCGCGTAGGCAGGGCCTGTCTATACACCTCCCCCAGCCTCAAATCCAGATCCATGGTGAGATGGGTGTGGTAGAGAAATTACCTACGAAGTTTCAAGTCCTTGAGGGCTTCCTTCCTCTTCCTAGAGCCATGATGGTCTTGCGGAGGGGAAACGGTTTTGGCGCAGGGAAGCAGCGACGACGGAAGGGAATGAGGAGGAGGACGCGGCAGTAGAAAATGAGGATGGGTCGGCGGCTAGAAATGAAGGGAGAGGAAAGGTGATCTATTTAGGGTAACACTAGAAAGCAGGGCGCGGCGTTGCCGCGCCATGGCCAGTGATGACGTGGGGCATAAAAGGTTACCTTTTGTGTCCCACAATCCGATTTGGATGTCATTGACCATATAATAAATGGGTATACAAACTGGCATGTAAGAATAGACAGATGATGTCGGTAGAAGTACAACGTCCTAAGTTTTATGTTCCGCGTCTAAAATCCTGAGGGGTGCAAAAGGTCTTATGTGCAGACAATAACCTAAAGAAACAATGGAAGATAAAATATAAGCATTGTTTTGGAACATGGGAAATTTCTCCCCTTGAGCCATTATTTTACAAAATTTACAGCGCATCTTCATTTCAAATTCTCTCCCATTGAGCCATCTCATGTACAATAGTTAACCATAGAAAGAATTGCCACAATTGAACATTTGGAAACAATTCCTTCCTTTAAAACACTGGTGCGGCTTTGCTGCACCCACCACACCCTCCTCGGAGTTAATCCCCTAGAAGCTGAGAGCGAAATTTGAATTCATAAACACAATAACAATTGAGAGTGAAAGATTAGTGGCTAGAAGTATATGACATGACTCACCTGACGTGTATATAATGTCACAATGCAGTGGCTATAAGTATAAAGCAGGATGACTCACCTGACATATATGTGTATATGTGAAAATGTAATATCCTTATATAAACATTGATCTAAACGAGTTTGTGGAAGGAAGAGAAGAAATGAATCTGTCATGTGATTTATCATAAATACATATAATAAGAGATTTAAGTCAAAAGGTAAAATACAGAGCTATGTATCGGAAGATGGTCTAGGGAATTAGGAGAAAAGGTGCCATCAGAAGGCACAATCAGGTATAGCAAAAATGCAGCTATGAAAATAGAAAGTACATGTTCGTTCAGAAATATCATGACAGTTAACAGGAACATACTGTTCAATGCATTTTTCGTGGACATGCTGAACATTTGATTTCCATGCTTGGTCAGCTTCTACTGGCTCCCCATTCAGATAATGTGACAAAGAGCCAGTACACTGTAAGTTATAGTTTGGATTAGATTCTTCAAGTATACATTAAAGTTCTGCAAGACCAATCTCAGTGACTTGGAAAGGATGACAAAATTCACATTTTCAGGTGCTGACCATTGACCCATGGTTGTTTATTCTTTATTTGTGTTCAAGATCATATTAGCATCTTGCATTTCAAAATATTCATAAAGGAGTGCAGACAGGAAATGACTCTTACATTGTGACTGATCATTTGATCGTTTGCCTCTTCAATTCTCTGTTATGGTCATCCATTACATTTGACTCTCTTTTCAATGTCGTTTGAAGAGGTTGTGTGCTTATTATCTGACAGAACAATACACATTTAAGAGTGGGTCCACAGAAAGTATGTTTCTAAATAACTTCTCAAAAAAGAAAAGAAAAAGGAGGCTGTTAAGATATAATAGAATTTCACCGGTT